TCCCTTCACCTTGCTGGCACGTCCATTCCTCTGGAATTCGAGTCTATTTGGGGTCCCAGACCGTACTGAAGAGCAGCTGAGACCCCCAGCCTCATGAGCTGAACAACCGCTGGACTCTTGGACTCTGTTCACAGCTGTATGAATATTCTCTAAGACATTGCTCTAGAGAGTCCTGACTAGCACAGCACCCCATGTTTTGCAGTTGTTGGGGTCCACCCTATTAGATTGTCTGTGAACACGTTCTTGTCTGCTCCGCTACGTTAGCCTCCCAGCTTCCCACAAACATACTTTCAGGACCTGGGCCCGATTGGAATTCACGTCCTGGGAGGGACAGGACTGATGTCCCCAGAAAGAACGGGGCTGGCTGGAGGGTGGGGAGGAGGGTGGTGGGAGGGGGTGGGAGGGGGGTCTACACAGGGTGCATTCTCTACTCCAGGCAGGCAGCTCATGGGAAGTTTATTAGTAGCAACACAGACACGTGCAGGGTTGGCCAGACTACAGTAGCAGGTCCCTAGATCAAGCCTCTTTCTGTCGGATGGTGGATCTGGGCTCTGCCCCCCACTGGCGCACCTTGCAGAGAGGCTGTGGGCTGTAAGAGGGGAGCCCTGGACCCACAGTTTCCAGGGCATTACATCTCATGGCAGGCAGCCTGATCCTACCCTTGGACCAGAGCATTCGGCAAAGAGCCGGCAGAATTATCATTTAGCCCCATCTGAGAACCACCCCCAAGCAGGATGTACTCCCCAACCCAGGAAAACAAAACCAGTGTTCAGGTCACAAACATCAGCTTGGGCCGGGCGTGGCTGCAGAGGCTGGGGCGGGTCTGGCAGCTTCTATGGGGCTGGGGTTAGACAAAGGGGAGTAGACGTCCTTTGTTCCAGGCTCAGTCTTCATCCTCGCTGGCATAGATGCCTGCTTCCCAGCGCTCTGCCAAGAGGCTCTTGTGTCTTGTTACTCGCGTGGCTCCCAGGACCTGCACACAGAGAGGTGTGGACATATGAGCCGCCCCAGCTGCCTCCCCGTTGACGACGTGCAGGACGGTCTGGCGCAGAGCGAGGTGAGACCCTCCCCTCCTCTGTTTCACACTGTCTTCTTCAAGCAAAGGAACATAGACTTCTGTTGACTTCCACAGCAAAGAAGCCATGCCCAGCCTCAGCCTAGAAAGGGTCACATCTATAATTTCAGCACGCAGGAGGCTGAGGCTGAGGAAGGAAGAGTGTGAGTTTGAGGCCAGCTTAGTTTGCTACATAGTGAGACTATCAATAATAATAATAATAATAACAATAACAATAATTTCTTATTTGCAGCTTTTCCTGTTGAAATCTTTGTCTTCTGGTAAAAAAAAAAATCAAAAACAACAACACCCCCCCACCAAAACCTCACTCAGATCTTTTTTTTTTTTTTTTGGTTTTTCGAGACAGGGTTTCTCTGTAGCTTTGGAGCCTATCCTGGAATTCCCTTTGTAGACCAGGCTGGCCTCAAACTCAAAGAGATTCACCTGTCTCTGCCTCCAGAGTGCTGGGATTAAGGGCGTGTGCCACCAACGCCCAGCTCTCACTCAGATCTTTAACCATAATCTGTACCCATGGCAGGCATCACAAGTAGATCACAGCACAATCTATCCCAGGCAGACCCCATCAACAGAGCAGATTGTCAGCGAAGTAGCGGTCCTGAGTGACCAGTGCTTTGGTAGAGGTGCTGACAGGAAGGGACAGACCTCATCCTTTCCCTCTGGAGCTCACTCACCTCTGAGTTGACGCGGTCTGAGGAGTTGATTCCGGCATACTGCATGAAAGGAACAAGAATCGGTGTTCATCTTTCCTGCCCAGCCCGCCTGAAAGTCCTCTCATAGGCAAATCATCCCTTCAGAGCTGGAAGCCCAGCTGGTGGCGCTCTCCCAGAGTCTCCCGCCATCTGTTTCCACATACCATGGGGTCAGGTTGTGAGACCAGGTGGGTAGGGTCAGACATGTGCTGTTCTCTGTGGTGTCCTTTGGACCCTCCCAGCATGGCCCAGGTACCTGGTACCTACACTTGAAATCAGACTTAGGGTTTTTTTTGTTTGTTTGTTTTTCTTTTCTTTTCTTTTCTTTTTTTGGTTTTTAGACAAGGTTTCTCTGTGGCTTTGGAGCCTGTCCTGGAACTAGCTCTTGTAGACCAGGCTGGTCTCAAACTCACAGAGATCCGCCTGCCTCTGCCTCCTGAGTGTTGGAATTAAAGGTGAGTGCTGCCACCGCCCGGCTTGAAATTAGACTGGTTTTGTGAGCTCAGCAGCCATGAAGGATTGATGCCGAGACCTGAAGGTGTAGCTTCTGTGCAGCCTGCAGGCCGCAGAGTGTGGTGTGGCCGGCAGGGTGTGGCAGACCCATGACTGTGGGGTCAGGGAGATAAGAAATCAAACCAGAGGTTGTCATACAGTCTTCATATATGCACAGTGGCACTCGGGTTCACATATGAAAATAATGGTGTCAGGCCTGGCGGTGGTGGCACACGCCTTTAATCCCAGCACTTGGGAAGCAGAGGCAGGCCATCTCTGTGAGTTTGAGGCCAGCCTGGTCTGCAGAGCGAGAATCTGTCTTATAAAGTAAAAACAAAAACAAAATGGTGGTAATGACCATTTGATATTTGTTTTCTTCCTCATCAGTCTTTGACCTTTGACCCTGAGAGTGACCCCCACAATAAGTGTCCCCTGCTTGTGTGCCCTCTCAGACTAGAAACCCAGGGATTAGAAGAAACACCCAGTCCCCACGGGCAGCAGGCGGCCACAGCTCTGTCCACTCACCCACACCTCCTTTTTTGTCTTCTGTCCCAGAGTGGTGTCCTCGGGGGCTTGCACCTTCCACACCAGGCCTGAATGCAGTTGGACGGGGGTGAATACTGGGGATTCTGACACCGCGTAGCTGCCGGTGATGCCTGTGGGAGGCAGAGACGGTGTCGTCAGGGAGGCCTCTGGACAAGAATCTGGAGTACTTACAAAGACAGGGAAGCAGACAGGCGAACAGCAGCCCACTGTGACAGCCTGGCTGGAGTAGACACCAGGAGAGCTTTAGACAGACAATGAGCCACAGATACTGGGAAGTAAGGCGGGGAATTTGTGATTCACCAAGAGGAGCAATCCATCAATAAGATAAGCAGCTGCTAACCTGTCCCGGTCCAATAACAGCGTTCAAAAAATCTAAAGCAAAGTTGGCATTTTCCCTCCGGAATCTACTTCCTCCACCCCTGAGACCTCAGGACAGAACAGCCACCCTCTAGAACCCAGCTCACCAGATGCTCGGGAGGAACTCCGGGAGTCTTGCTCCTCTTGCTCCGGCCCTGGGGAGAACACCTCTGGGAAGAAGGCATTTCTCCGCTCTTCAGCCACCTCTCGCTCCCTCCGCAGGACATCCTCCACCTCCCTTTCCAGCAGGTCAGAAGATTGTGACTTTTGTAGCCTCAACACCGGGCCTCCGGCCACCTCCCAGCCCCAGGTATGGGAGGTCTCAGCCTGCTGGGGGACATCTGGGACCTTGAACTGCAGTGGACGCAGGTGGAAATTCTCTAATTGCACGACACCCACATTGGCACGCAGAGGCTTCAGGGGCTCTTGTTTTGAGCTCAGAGACCTTCTAGAATATTCTGAGACATCCCTTGGATATTCTGTTGCCTTCTGGAAGGTCACAGCTTTGGTGTCCTCTGTGGAGACACCATTTGGCTTGCTGTATACTCCAAAGGCTGAGAAATCTAGTTTGGGGGTCCCAGGGCCCAGATATGGCTGGTAGGCATCTGGTGGGATCCGGTTGACCTTTCTTGCCTCTGGAGCTGGGTCAGTGGCTCGGGCATCTGGGGTGAGGATGGAGTCAGAACTCAGGCTTCTCTGGAGTCCAGGCCGAAGGTCCTGGGAGGACCAGTCAGGTGTGGAGGCCCTGCCCACCTGCAGACCCTCCCGGCGATGGTCTTCTTCTCGCTGCGTCTCCTGTACCATGTCCCTCTGCACGTAGAGGGATGGGCGGCCCCTATCTCTGCGCACTGGAGACTCAGCCAGGCTCACCTTGTTGAGCAATGGCCTACTGGGGATCTGAACCAGCTCCTGATGTCCAGCCGCCCGCCCAAGCCCCCTCTGTTCCCGCAGCTCTGCCTCTCGCTCCTGGGCCAGTCTAATCTCTCTCTCGATGGGCGTTTCTTTGGGGGTCTCAGGAGACTCTGCTCGGGTCCAGGGACCAGGGTCGTTAGCTGCACGAACTGCTACCGTTTGCCCAGCTGGGGAGGCATGGACAGTCTTCTCTGAAGTCACCTCCTTCGCTGGTGACATGGTAGGTATGGCATAGCCATTGACTAGGTGGGGCCTTGCGGAGGCCTTGGGGGTTTGGCTGACCCCTGGTGGGGCTTGCACAAAGGTTTCCCTGGCTGTGGGGCTCCAAGGAACGGGGTTCGTGTTTGCTTTCTCCAAACTCAGGAATTGCTGCCGAGCAGCCAGGAAATCAATTTGTTCTGTGTCCACCAAGATCTCATTAGTTGACTTGGGCCGAGGCTGGCCAGTGGGCCTGGGCTCCCTCTGGAGTGTGGCCACTGTGCTGCCCTTCCTGATGGCCTGGCTGTGGATGACTGCCCAGCGCTCGGCATCCAGGTCCCTCGGTTGGCTGCGGAGGGCACTGTTGGTATCATCCAGGTGGTATGCCTCCATCTCTTCGTCTTCGTCCTCCAAGTACAGTGACCTCGGAGAGGACTGGCCGAGGAAGACTTGCCTGGTGGAGGACACACCTGTTCTCTTTACATCTGACCTGGTTTGGTACTCAGTGGACCAGTTCTGCAGATCCTCATGGCTCCAACCAGATTCGGGCCCCACGCCCACCAGCTCAACGGTGTAGCTGGTGTTTTCATCCAGCACCAAGCTGGTGACACGTGCTGAATGGGGATTGCTGAAGATGGGGTATCTGGTCACACGATCCATTTCAAGGGGTCTGGGTGTGCGTGACCTTCCTCCCGGGAGTTGGAGATCTCCAGGCTCACTTAGGGAGGAGAGGACACCAGGTCAGACAATCTAGAGACAGGGACAGCTTCCGGGGACTGCAGGAGACCCCTGACAGGCAACACTTTTTTTTTTTTTTTGAGACAGGGTTTCTCTGTAGCTTTGGAGCCTGTCCTGGAACTAGCTCTTGCAGACCAGGCTGGCCTCGAACTCCCAGAGATCCGCCTGCCTCTGCCTCCCGAGTGCCGGGATTAAAGGCATGCACCACCACCGCCTGGCATCCCAACCCCAACATGGCGTCGCCCCATAACATCTGAGCTCCTAGATGTCCCAAAGCTTCAGATGACAAACGCATTTTCCTGTCTGATCTCTACTCATTCTTCCTGAGACAGGGTCTCAATTGTAGCGCAGACTGTGTTAAACTCGTCCCAATCCTTCCTCAGCCACCCGACTACGGGGATGACAGGCATGTGCCATCACGCCCAGCTACTGCTGACCTCTCGTCTAAACAGTCTGCGGCTGAGGAGTCTCCGCAGGCCTCCCAGCACAGATGCCGAGCTCATCCCTCACTAACTCCCAGAAGGAAACGTGTCGTGTCTGCTATCTCTGCACTTGACTTTCACTTGGCTCTTGGAGACCAATGATGCCAGGTGGGCAAACTGGGGCTCAGAAAGTCCACTTCCCAGCACCTGGGACCTCTGTCCCCATGAGCACCTGGTACCATCTTCACAGCACCTGCGTCAGTGCTACAAAGCCAAGAACCGGGAGTGTCTTGAACTTTGTCCCTGGACCTGGGTAGGGCTCAGAGCCATGGGTGACACCCTGACCCTGAAAGGTTCAGCCTTTCCCGCAGCTCCTTTCCTGGCACTCAGACCTGCTTTTGCTTTTGTTTCTTCAGTTTCCTGGAGTCTGCAGCAGCACTCAGTCAATGCTCAAGGCCACAACCTGACTGTGCAATCCAGAAGGTCACCAAGCTCAGCAAGTGTGTACAACTGACCACGCCCCCAGCCCCTCACTGGCGGATTCTAGGCGGGGCTTCACCTTGACCACGCCCCCAGCCCCTCACTGGTGGATTCTAGGCAGGGCCCTGTCCCTAGCCATTCTTTTTTGTTTTGCTTTTTTTTTTTTTTTTTTTTTTTTCCTAGCTGTAGACCAGGCAGGCCTTGAACTAACAGCTCCACCTGCCCCTGCCTCCCTGAGTGCTTAGGACTAAAGGCATTTGTGCTGCCACCAGCCGGCCTCTCAAGTGGTATTTCCAGCAATCCTCCTGTGGAGGGCAATCCCCCCTGTGCCGCCCACACTTTGCTCTCCCCGTCAGAGCCTTGGGGAATGGGAGGATTCCATTCTGTCTGGGTGGATATTCCTAACTCATAGGCAAGCACCTATAAAGACTGACTCGGTGAACTCGGCTGCAGTCCCTGGGTGCTGTCTCCCAGGCTCTAGCCCAGAGCTGTTGAGCACCTACATTCATGTGCTGATAATGTGTGCACAGTCAGTCACGACCTCTAGAGAAAGGGTGTCATCCTTCCCCAGGGTGTAGACTTCATTCTTCCCCAGTGACTCAGGTCAGAGGGTGGAGCTCCTGGTTGGGATTCAAGGCCACTGGGCCCCTCTCTGTTGTGGGCTGCAGGTAGGACTGCCTTGCCAAGGATCTATAAACCTGAGTTCTGCTGGGTTAGCAGCCTACTCCTTTAACCTCTGGGATTCAGAGGCAGGAGGATCTCTGTGAGTTCTAGGCCAACCAGAGCTACATAGAGAGACCTTGTTTCAAAAATCAAAAACAATATCAGCAGCAGCAGCAACAACAAATCCTAATTTAGCTCTCTGTGCCTGGTACAAACTCTCAACAGATGCTTGCAGTGACTGTAAATCTGACAGATGAAATTCCAGATCCAGCAGGGGTTTTAGGGTCCCCGAAGGAGCCACTGCTTGATGGTGGTTGGCAACCAGTCTGCAGAAGCCCTGGTGGGGACAAAGGGCCCCTTCAAGGTATTCAGCTCTCCACAGGGGTCTGTTGTCAGCTCTGCCCGTCGAGGACAAGGGGGCACAGAGAGGTGGAGTTACAAGTTCCCCTAGCGGTGATGGTGGAGCCCGTTCTTTCCCAGCTAGGACCTCCTCCTCCAGAAAGCCTGCTCTACCCAGCCCCACCCTGGAACTGTGACTCCCTATAGAAACTGAGTTTATGGTCCCTGCGGGCACACCTGCTTGCTCTGGCTTCCTACCTGCAGGGCAAAGGTGCCTTGGTGGGGCCAGCAGGTCACCTAGTAGGGTGGTGTCCTTAGGAGTCCTCTGTCTGTCCTGCCCCTCAGGGCCTCCTTGTTGCCTAGATAGCTGGCCCTGGGGAAACCAGTCCAAGGCTGATCCCTGAGCTATCCCTGGGTTAGCCTGAGCAGCCCCAAACCCATGGGCTTACAGACCTCTGCCTATGACAGCATCTGTGGTTTCCGTCTCTTTCTCATTGGTCTAGGGCTTGGGATTCTGACTTCTGGGGTGCAGATAAAAGTCCTATCCACATAGGCCCAGGAATTATTTCGAGTTAGCGGGTAATAGCAAGTTCTCAGATCCAGGAGGACAATGTGGGGCCCCAGCCAGGGCCAAGGCTGTTGGAGGTACAGACCGGGGGTGGGGTGGGAGGACGACTCCCTGTAGGCTCAACACTGCCAATAGGCACACCGCAAACAGGTTCTTCATCTCCCCATTCCAGCCTCCCTGCTTCCCCAGCCTCACCTGCCAGCTCCAGGTGCCCAGGCTGCCTCCCAGCCTCGGGCTGTCCTCTGCAGGGAGGCCCCTGGGCTCTGCCCTGGCCACATGTTGCCAAGGGGACGGAGGCCCCACCCAGGAGCAGGTGTGCACCTCCTCCCCGTCCCCACCCGGACAGGGGAAACAAAGTCCAGAGAAGACAGAAAAACGATACTCAGGCCTACGAGGGCTGGCACGGTGCCCGCTGCGGGCCTTGGCCCACAGAGCCGGAACCGTGTCTGCCCGGCGTCCCCACCCTCCCACTTTTGCGAATGGGGGCTACTCCTGCCTGAGATTGCACAAACGCCTGTTGCTCCCGTGGAATGGAGAGACCGAATTCCAAGCCTGGGCTGGCTCGTGGGATCCCTTTGAATGTCGATCTCTTCCAGCCAATGCTCCTTTGATCGAGCGAGACTCAAGGACTCATGTGGATGTCTCCAACCTCGCATGCATTGTGGCTGGAATTACGAAACTCGGGGTGAAGGTCTCAGGTCGCTGTTCTCTGGGAGGGGTCGGCGAGGCTTTGGATTGGATCCTAGCCAACCTTCTGGGCCTTATTTTCTCATTCAGGAAATGGGAATTCTCCAGGTCACATTCACACAAAAGTTCACATGATGCCCAGAGAAACCTCATACGGAGAAACAGGCCTGTGATCCCAGAACTCAGAAGGCTGAGGCTGTGGGATTGCTATTAGTTTGAGGTCAGCCCTGGCTACACAGTGAGGCCTGTGATCCCAGAACTCAGAAGGCTGAGGCTGTGGGATTGCTATTAGTTTGAGGTCAGCCCTGGCTACACAGTGAGACCTGTCTCCAAAACTCAAAAACAAATAAAACGCCCAGGAACACTGGCCAGAGAGGCGAGGTTTACATCCCAGTACAATGAGGCCAAGACACCCACCATTGCCCTCTGGGTCCAAGTGGCTGGGATTCCTGACACCACCCCGCCCCCTGGGCTGGCTTGAGGGGCCCCTCTGATTTTCTCTCCTTTCTTCCCTCCAGGCTGTGGTCCACCCCCAGCTCCAAGGGGACTTGGCAGATGTGGGAACAGAGCCCACCAACCACATTCCACTGCCAAGAGGGTCAAAGCCAGGCTGTGGGGTACATCAGCTTCTCCCAGGGTCCCTCTGGACCTCTTTATAGCTGGGAGCAGAAGTGGGCACATCCAAGTCAGGTGGGATCTGAATTCATAACTCTCTTCCCACATTTTGGGCACTCCCACAGGGAAATTGAGTCCCAAAGGGCCCCCAGATTGAACCCACACACCTGACATCTTGGTACTCACTCAGGAAACCGAAGCAGGATAGCTGTGAGTTTGAGGCCAGCTTGGGTTACAGACTTTTTATTCAAGCCTGGGATACCCAGTGCGCTGGGAACACAGGGCTCCTAGCCAGCTCTTCTATACAGATAGGGAAACCGAGGCCAAAGGAGAAAAAATTTTCCAAGACCACAGAGAGAGAAAGAAATGGAGTCTCTACTACTCCTCGGAACGTAGCTCAGAGCTTGTGGGGTGTCTATGGGGACCTCTCTACCCCAACCTCGCAGTACAAGGACATAGCAGATATGAAAGCCAAGGCCCTCAGTGGCTTCCCGCAGCTGCCCCTCACCTGTCTGAGTGCCGCAGAGTCCTGGGGAAGGTCCACCCTGAAGGGTGCAGTGGCCGCAGGGGAGAGAAGGCTTCTCCTGTGTCCTGCCGGGCCTGGGCTTGGCCTTTTTATGGCTCCACCACCAGGAGGCCGCACCCCTTCCCGCCCAGATGAAACCCAAGAACTGCAACAACCTGGCTCTGCACACTTTTTTTTCTTTTGTCTTTTCTTTCTTTCTTTTTTTTTAAATTTCTTTCTCTGGGAAAGTCAAGAACATGGGGTGAAGGGTGGGGCCTCGTCACAAGTCAAAAGCAGAAGGGGGCAGCAAGGGCACTTCAGCCGAGGCTCAGGGCTCGAGGGACTCAGGCAGACTCAGAGGAGGAAGAGGAAGGGATGCCATGACCATGGCCGTAGCCACGGGTCACCCCTCAGGGAAGAGCGCTTCTCCTCCAGGCCACAGGAAGGACAGGACTCAGACCCTGTGGCCTCTGCGTGCCCTACTGCAGCTGCGGGTAGTGACAGGGCCCCACAGGTGGTCCTGCACCCTACACACCGGGCTGGAGTCCCAAGGAAAGGGACCTGGACCGGGCGTGGTCCTGCAAAGCCAGTGAGGGAGGAAAGGGTTGTGCCAGTGTCTGTGTGCAGGGCAGCGCCTCTGGAACTAAAGTGGCTGCTGCTGCCTGCCCACAGGTGGGTGATCCCCTGCCGTGGCTCCTGTCTAGCCAGGTGGCAGATGGGGGATCCCCTTACTCCCACCCAAGGTGTGTGTGGGGCGACCTAAACCTGCCTGGAAAGGCTAGGCTCCGCAGTGCTGGCAGACATACCCCCCGATTGCTGGGGTACGGTGTGTGTGGGAAACCGGGACCCTGGTCCAAGCCAACTAGACAAGAGTGCAGAGGTGACTCCAAGGGTCCCAAAATTAGCACCAGGAAGAAGGGCCCAGTGTGTGCATGGTAGGGGGGACCCAGGAGAGGGACTGGCTGACGTGGGGCCTTGCCAACAATGACCCCATCTTGGGGGTGATGTTTCCATCACCAGTAAAGGGGTATCCCCATTTTGAGCTCTGCTACTTACTGGGGGGGGGGGAATCCACAGGTGCCCGTCCTCCACCCTAGGACTTTGAGTCTCAAAAGAAGTGTGGCCTCACCCCATCTGCCCACATTATATCGCTGGCACATTGGTCAGGGAGACCTTCTCTTTAGGTCCCCCTCAGTAGCAATAAGGCACAGACAGGCTGGCCTGGGGCAGCAAGGGGACACCAGGCTGAGACCATGATGGGTGTGGGTCGCCAGTGTAAACCTGCTGTGACCTGGCGTGAGGGGGGTCCCCATTCTTAGCAGATCTGAGATGGGTCGGCCTGTCTCTCACCAAGGGAAGACGCACGGCTCAGAGGTTTGGGGTGAGTGTGGAGAGTGGTGACGGACAGAGCCTCCCCCCCCATCTGTGACTCGAGGTGCATAGGGACCACACACGTGTCTGGGGCCCGTGAGGCAGAGGGTGAGGGTGGGCAGGCGCCGGGGAGGGCCGGGCTGCTGGGTGGAGTGTGGAGCTTAGGACGGGGATGGGGGCGGGAGCGCCCCTGACGGGTCACATGACAGAACAGCATCTACAGCGAGGCTTCTTCATGTCGAGATCCTGGGCATCACTGGGAGTGGCTGAGGGCCCGGTCTGGTTCTCTTCCTTGGTGTCTGGGAGCTCAGCCGCACTGCCATTGAGCGGCGCCGGCTCCCTGGGGGTGGTGGCTGCATCTTCGATCACCAGCAGCTCAGCCTTGATGGTGTCCTGCAGGCCCAGTACCTTCTTGGTCTCTGCTTCATCTTCCACATTCTGATAACCCATGAAGACCATGGTTACTGGGGGCTCCTGACCGGGCTGGATGCCTGGTGGGCCCGATGTGGCCTCTCCTGGCTGAGCCGCAACTCCTGTAATCTCCCTCCTTGCCGGTGTGGTCCTGGTCGCATCCTCTGCGAGTCCCCGAGGCTCCGCTGGCCCGGCTGTGGACCCTGCCTCGCTCAGTGTGACCTCATCGGCCTTGTGAATGAGTTCCTCCACCTCGGAGGAGCTTAGCGGCTGGATTCCGTTCTCAGCGATGCCATCCACGGCATGGACCACTGTGTGGGGACATACGGAGAGAGTCAGCTGGGGAAATGCAAGGGCAGGGCAGGGAGACTGTAGGAGACCCCACTGTGACAGCCAGCTCTTGTGCATGTCTGGTGTCCCAGTGCTCAAGGGGACCAAGGAAGGACTGCAGTGAGTCCCAGCAATTCTAGCCTCGGGCTTCCTGTGTGCACTACAGGCCTGACTCGCTTTCTGAGTTGTGGTGAGCTAAGAGTATCCTCACCAAGGGGACCAATTGTCTGCAGCCCCAAAAACACACCTGGCAAACTCCTCCTGGATCCTAGACTGCGGGGAAAGGAGACAGGGTGGCCCTAGGAATCCAGGAAATTTCAGGGCTACCCTCCCCAGATGTCAGCTTTCCACCCTCCGGAAGAGAAGCCACTGTGTCTGGCTAGCCTCTTGGTGATACTGGGGTGAAGAAAGCAGGGTCAAACCTCTCCCATGGGCCTGGGCTCTTGAGATGAGAATCCATCAGTCTCCAAAGAAACGGAGCCCCTGCTGTTGCTAAGCAGCCAGGGTCCAGTCTAGCTGGTTCCGGGTCCCCAGAGAGAAGAGACGGTGGAGCAGCAGAGGGAGAGTGTGAGAGGGACTGTGCAAGGGACACCCATCCTTAAACAGTCGCGCCCAAGACACACAGCACGGTTCCTCCACATGTCACAGGGTATCATGTGAAAAGGAGGGAAGTTCTAGAATACACTGTAGCACGGAGGAACCTTTAAGATATTCTTCATTGAGAAACTCACACAGAAGGCCACATAGTGTGGGACTCCATGATGGGAAATGCCCCAAACAGCGAAGTCCTGAGACCAGAAGTGGGTGTATGAGTGATGGGGGCTGGGGACCGAATGGGGAGAAGCTTGTAGGGATGCAGAGCTTCTTCTGGGCTATGGGATGCTCTGAAAGCAGAGAGA